ATTGCTATGGTGTTTTGGGTGGTAGTCTGTGTATTGCAGTATATAGGGTGTTTTGAGTGGTTGCTAGGGTAAAAAACGATAGTTTGATTGCATAGAAGAGCAATAGTCCACCTTTCCTGAATAAGTGATGAAATGTTTGATTTTCATACTTTTTTTCATACTGATTTTTGTAGTGTGCAGAAGCTTAATACTTTGTTAAAATCACTAACACCGTTGAAATGTGTAAAAAGTATAGTAATAGTGATGATTGACTTAGTAAACCTCCTAACTCCTAAGTTTTTACTACTTGATTCGCTGGAAGAGAAAGTTGTTGTGCTTGAAGTGTTTGTGTTTTTATACTAGAGTGTGTTTGATGTCTGAGGTGACTTGCCTGTTGCCGGGTAACCTCCTGTGCCCTTCTCTGATTGGCTGAGGGAGATAGGTGTTGACTGGTAGACGGGTTTGAGGGCTGATAAGAGTGCAGACATGCGTGAAATCCGATTGGGCGATAACTGCCGCTGACCTGGGGGTAGTGGCCTATCAGATTTCTTCATCTCAATCATGGCGACGATAAAGCTGTCAAATCAGCTTTGACTTGACTTCGACATGCCATATCACCCAGCATATAACAAGAGACACGGCTGATAAAAAAATATATATATATTTTTCCTGTCACTGCGGGAACTTGTTACAGGGTAGATTTTAAAGGCCCGGTGATTTATGACCTGGTCAGCTCATGCAGAGTGCTGCTGGGAAAAGTGCGAGACGAGAAAAGGGGAGGCCCCAAATATGAGCGAGAGGGGTGTAGTTTTCCGATCTCAAGCTTCAGAAAAATAGTTATTTAGAGGAATATGTGGATAGAAATGGTAGCTGTGCATTACATAGTTTTGGTGGGCAACCATGCACCAGAAATGATCACCATAGTTGTGTGTAAGCTAGTCTTTTTTAGACTAGTTGTGTGTAAACTTTACTTGTCTGAAACTTTATTCAGTTTCACAGGGGTTTGTTAAAAGTAGATAACTTTTGTATGATCTTTGCTTGTTGTGTCAGGTCAGCTGTACTTCTGATGTAGATGTAAAGCATTTTAGCGTGATTGAAGGTCTAGTTTTAAACCCGTGTGGTCACAGGAGGGCTGAAACGTAACCCAGATTAATTGCTCAGGGAGTATTAGTCTGCATTGTTTCACTGTGCTGATATTGGCACTGAACCTTTGTTAACAAACTGTTTGAATTCTCTAAAGCTAGTCATAGGAGAATCTTGATGGTCTGGATCAGAAGCTGGCCATCTCTCAGTTCTTTCTTGGACCTCTAATTGGATTGCTGCAATTCGATGATTGTTAACGAATGACATTTGAGATAATGAAGTCATCAGCCTAAGAGCTTTGGGAAGAAAGCAGCGGTAGAAAAAAGTAAAGCCGTGTCACAAAGGACTCATAGGCCCCCCCACCCCCCCTGACGGATTCGAACAGGCCCCACAGATGGGAAGATACATTGCAAGGTTTTTGTCAGCATGTGGAAGGAAAATCTCTCCCCGTTGTGCTCAATGTGGTGTTTGTAGTTTCCCCAGGATTTCTCAAAATGCCAAAATCTGTTAAAACCAAGGAGGTTCATAGTACTTAGAGAAAACATGTCTAAACCCATTACTAGTGACTATCCTGAGCTGTGAAAGGCAAAATAAGTCAATTTCTCACTTTTGAAAACATCTGGTAAAACATTTTTTTATATAATATAATAATATATTTAAATGTTATATACACTACATTTCTTATGCTCTCCAAGGTTGCATTTATTTGATCAAAAATACAGTAAGTACAGTAATATTGACCACATTTTAGAAAAACTGTTTTCTATTTAGATATATTTTAAAATGTGATTTATTCATGTGATGGCTAAGCTGAATTTTTTAGCATTGTTACTCCAGTCTTAAGTCTCACATGATTCTTCAGAAATCATTCCAATATGCTGATTTGTTGCTCAAGAAACGTTTCTTCTTATTATCAATGCTGAATATAGCTGTGTTGCTTAGATTTTTTGTGGAAACCATATTTTTTTCCAGGATTCTTTGATGAAAAGAAAGTAAAAAAAAAAAAAGACACATTTGAAATTTAATTTTTTTTAACAATGTAAAAGTCTTCGCTGTTACTGATTTAAGGCGGGCGTACACGGTGCAATTCTGAAAGTCGGAACGTCGTAAGCTCTGGCACATACGACACGAATTTACTACGATTTTACAGACTCTGACGTAAGCATTACGTTTCGCACCATTCATAAAAATATGGATTCTGAGGACGAAATAGTTTTCTTTGTGGCAGGCGGCTTGTGACGTCCCAAAAAAAAAAACGAAGACAATGGACATGGCAAAGAAAATGGTTGAAAAGCATGGACTTTCTGTTCTTCATAAAGAACTCGAGGGAGTAGGCCATTTCTGAATTTCTGCTCGTTTTGCTGGAAATACAACAGGCATATTCATTCATAAAGCTGAACGGCAAATTTGGCACATTCGGAATAACAAATAAAAAATAGAACTGTATAATTAAACTAAAATTATTATAGACTATATGGTTTTTGTCATCTTCTGATTGGTCAACTTTAGATGGATCGCCAAATCGTCTCGTTCAACCACACATATGCCACGAATGTAAACCGACAGCATCTGATCTTTTTTAACATGTTTGAAAATTATCGGGAGGACGGGAGGTTCTCGGATCGGCCTGTAATTCTTCTCGCACGATACGAGCCGCGAGCATCTTGCCTGCGAGCTCATACGACAGCAAAAATCGAACCGTGTACGCCCACCTTTAATGCGTCCCTGCTGAATAAAAGTAATAATTTCTGACCCCAAACTTTTGAATGGTAGTGTATATGTATAAATATATTTTTTTACAAAGCTAATTTTGAGTGACTGTCAATGGAAAAACCCAGATGGTGTAGTTTTGGCACATTCCAGCAAGGGCAAAACAGGCTAGCCTTGACTCCTTTGTTGAAACCTGCAATCATCTACATGAATGTACTTTAACTGCACAACAGCTGTAGTTTGTGTGCTAATTAGCATCTGCCTTGTCTAGTTAGTTTTTAACCCCAGCCATGTGTGCTTATGATTCTCCTTGAGGGACTCCAGTGCGAATGTGCTAATCCTACTGTTCAAAAACAAAGAGAAAGAACCATTAATGGAGGTTGAGCGAGTGAGGAGAGTGTGAAACAAAGTAAATTGTACACCATCGCTGAAAGGTTGTGTGGTCAGTCTCCCAGCCACCGTTCGTGAAAATCTCTTTGAGTGGGAATACGCTAGCAAGAACAGCAAATGGCAGCTTGATCTCCAAATATAGATATTACAACCATTTGCTCAGCCAATCAGAGAACAAGAGTTATGTTAATGTTAAAGCAGTGTACAAAATGAATGAAAGAAGTTTAGGCTTTTATGTATGTGCATTTTACTGTGCAATGATCATATGTCTATGGATTCTTTTAGTTTCAAACAGGCCTGGAGATTTTTTTCTTTCATTCTCTTTCCCATGAGGCTTAGTGGTGCTGAAAGCTCATATGAGCGCAATCAAGCCCTGATTGATAGCTCTTGTAGTTCACAGATTGTTGTCTTGTGCTGCTGTTATTTTTCTGAGAAAACCAGAATGTGCAAACAAGCTTAAAAAACATTCTTCTTTACTGTAACACAGTTGTTCATGGACTTGTGAAGTGTTGCATTTTGTGCCCCTAGTGTCACAAAAATGGAATTGCGTTCTATTTGGTGACTTATTTTCGAACAGGTTTCCAAAACATGTCTACTGTCTGCAATTGGTTGGACAAACAGATAAACTAAATGTATATGTCTTTATTTCTGGGACTGCATTAAAATCCATTGAAGCACTAATTCCTAAATTCGCTTTGACAGAATATTTATACCCTCTTGTCTTGGAATGGCCTTCAGGTGAATCAAAAAATGTCACCATACCACTGTGATTAAACAATGGGTATTGAAACCATTTGGTGTGGTTGTAAAGATGAGTCAGAAAATGAGGCACCAAATGAGAACCATGGTGCAAACAAAAACAGGCACAATGAGGCGGCCCATCTGCTGTGTTATTAATCTCTTAACAATCCTGTTATTTATAAAAGTTTATCTTAACAAGCCCATTGCCTTTGGGAAATAAACAAACAATACAAAAACTACGCCTGACCTTCCTATGGTCCAGTGGTCCTGTCATGAGGTTTCAGTTTATGTGTTCTCTAATTATTGCAAATATAAATCTGAAATCGGCCACCATGTGAGATCATCTCCCCTTCATATGCGGCAATTCTGTTTCCATTACATCGGAGTGTGGTTTACATAAGTCCGCTGTCATCCTTCATTTGATTGACAACATTCCATTTATTTGAGTCAAGATCCAATCACTGATTGTGTTTTACAAATGCTCGAAACTTTTCAAATTCAAAGAAATAATTCCCCCAGAAATGAAAATGTTGTCATCATTTACTCACTATTTTGTATCATGTTCTAAATGATTTTTTTGAAGAGCATACATGCTTCTCATACAATCAAAGTATCTTAATGTGTGTGTATATATACATATTATATGCACACACACACACACACACACACACATAGAATCATTCTCATATAAATATATAAAATTATAAATAATAGAAGCTACACATTGTCATATTAACAACTAGACTAAATGTTTTAGACTGAAATCAGTGTCATTTCCGATTAGTTAGTCTTTTTTCACTGCTTCATCGAAAAGAATCATAAGAGTCGCTTGTTTGTACTTTGAACTATACAGGTCACATTATATGCTGCTTGTTGAGAGCAACAACGAGAAGAACACGATAAAAGATTCAGTCTGCCTTTTTTGTCTTTGTAGTATTTTTATTAGGCTCACAGCTCTGATAAAACATCATCTTTTTTCCGTGGTGGAGGAGACTGCATTCATGTCATGAAATCATTCAGTTCCAGTACTTGGAACCATTTCTTCCTCAGATTCTCAACCTTAACAGTGATGCATCCTGTGTGTGTTTCCTCCACAGGCTGCACACGGCCCAGAGAGCCATTAAGCAGACTCAGGTGACTGTTCAGAAGATCGGGAAGGAAATTGAAGAGAAACTGAGGACAACAGCGTCCTGCACAGAAAAGGTGAGACCCAACAAATCAAACTAGTGGGGTTTCTTGGGTTGTCTAGGTCTGCTTGCGTGCTCTTATTCATTCAGGATTATTTTTATATTCTGTATGCTTTCAATGTTCTCTAACTTCATAAATCCTATCTGGCCTGTTGGGTTTTCTTTTCCTTTGCACCTGGTACAGAGCACTGATGGTAAGACTCTGTAAAGCACCTCTGCAAGTATAAAAGGCAAAATTTACAGTTGCTGTGTGCTTGACAGAATTTTATAGCAGATTGTCAAACTCAGTTTAAAATTCAATACTTCACTCTGTAGTGGGGATATTGTCTTTCCAGACTCACAGAAGTACTCTTTTGTGAGGGATGGCAGTATAAACCCCCTATCTAGCAGTGTAACAGACAAGCATTTCACTTTAGTCATTGTCCAATCGGAAAACATTACAAAATAAAAGTACATACTATTAGCTGGCGCTTGTATTATAAAAAAAAAAATCATTATGTAGATTCTCTTTGCAAAGAAATTTGAATGGGTAAAAAACATTCCCAGTACAGGGAATGTTTTTACAGATTCAAAGCTTGCAACCAATATTTCAAGCTGTTGCAGTGTTGTTTTTGCAGGTTAGAATGAGAGTTTAGTATGCTGGTGCTAGTACCATCAGTTTCAGACAGGAAGTCAGGGTACCTAGTCACTCAACACAAATAGCAGCAGTATGGTAAATGGCCTTAGTGTTGTGTATCTTGTGTTACAGAGATCCTCATAAGTACGTCATTAGGCCCTCAGGTGGTTCTTGTATCCCGTGTTTTGATGGATTTAGAGATCCTGAATCCCACAGCTTTATGCCTCCTCTACATATCACCGTGCCCTTGTCACCAAAAAATCAGTTTCCACACTCACTGTATTCTGCAGAAGAATGAAAAGTAAAAGGAAAACATATTTAGGATTTTTCAAGGGAGTCAGCAGCTGCAAAAACGCAGCCGTTCGGGGAGGTTTTCAAGTTGTGTTTGTAGTTCATGAACATTTAAAAAGTTTGTCGTCTTCCAGTAGGCTGCAAATGCCCAGACATCTTCCACTCAGAATGAGCATAATCACACACACATTATATTTAATTCTTCTTTTCTCGAATTCTTCAGAACTCTGATCCAAAGCTTAGTGCTCTGCCTCACTGTCTACTTAGGCAGCGACCAGTTTTCAAGCATGATTTGCTTTGTAGATGACACTTGGTTTAACGTTTTGTAATCTAATGCAAAATATTAAACAAAAAATATAAATTTTTGTTATTGTATTTTTAACTTTTTGTCTTTATTCATGAGGCATCAGACTGCAAACAGGAAATAAGGGATGAGGAAGGATTGCGATTATATTCAGATATTCGGGGCTGTTTAAGATTTTTTAACAGTTATTTAGTTCAGCAATTATGCACATGTAAAGACATTGATAATGTTACAAAAGGTTTCTTAAAAAAAAAGAAAAAAAAAGTGCTTTCTGTTTTTGACATTTATAATTCTAGGAAATGTTTCTTGAGCAGCAAATCAGCATATTAGAATGATTTCTGAAGGATCATGTGACACTGACACTTTGCATCACAGGAATAAATTACATTTTAACATATTAAAATATAAATTGTAGTAATTTTTCACCATATTGTGTATTTATGATTTTAATAAATGCAGCCTTGGGTGACTTCTTTCAAAAACATTAAAAATCTTACTGACCCCAAACATTTGAACAGCAGTGGTAGCTTGTTTACAATAGTCTTCATGACAAGACCATCATATTTCTCATTTAGAAATGGATTGAGCCAGCCTTAATATATGAAACCAGCCCTTTAATATATGAAAACTTGGGCACTGATAATGCCAGGTTTTTGTTGTTGTGGTTGTACTTGTGATGTTTTTATTGTAGCAGATTTTGTCACGATGTCTTATAAAATTTGTCTGTTTGTGAGGTTGATGCTGTATAAATTGCCCTGTGAAGGGACTAATAAAGATATTACTACTACTACTACTTAGGTGTTTAGTTTGTCTCCCGTCCTGGGGTGGTTGGTTAGACTAATCTGTTTAGATGGTTTTAGTTGGGTCTTTCAGCTGGGAAACCAACTATCCAACTAGATAAACATAATCTTGTCCAAGTGAGGAGACCAGCTAGTCAATTTAATGAACCTAAAATATGTTTTTTAGGATAGAAATGTGTTGAATTGTACCACATCATAGAAAGACACCAGAAATCACTTGAATGAGTGAGAATGAAAGACTCCTTGCCCTCTCACACACTTGTGAGCCTTAAAGACGCCAGTACTCGTGATGCCCTTACCACACACACACTCCAGCTGGCTTTGATGTTTAAGTGCTTAGTGTTTGTATGGCAGCAGCCTCTCCACCTGTTGAAATGCTGTTTTCTCCGCGGGTGAGATGTCCACAGAACCTTCTGTTGATCTCCGCTGTCTCAGTATCCTGGAGGTCTGGCATTTTTTTTTGAGTTTTGCCATTCTGTTTTCAAACCTTGTTTACCATATGGGCCTTTTTGGTTCCAGTTTTTTAAATTTTTTTTGGTTGGCCAAAGCAAAGAATGACTCACCTCACTTTTTTTCCTCTCACTGTTGCTCGAATCCAAATGAGCCAGAAATGATCGTGACGTGAAATTAAGTTGCCAAAGTGTTGTGGAGAAAGCGTATCTTATGAGCAAACGTGCAAAAGCAAACACAATACGACATGTAATAATTACAAGTTAATTTGTGCTACAATATCCAATATGATATCCATCCAAAGACTCTAAAAACCTTCTGAAGCTTACATATGTTGGGAATATTATCACACGTCTTTCTTCGGTGGTTCGTCAAGTCTCTGTGAATGACTGTGAAGTCTCTTCCTTTCCAAAAACGAATTGGCAAGTTTCTGGAGTTCTCCACATGTCAAATTTCAGGATACGTTTACACTAATAGCTGACACTCTCCCTCAATCACATGAGCGCTACCTGGACCGCACGAAAGGTCAGCGAAGGACTGAAATTCCTGCAAAGTGTATCAGTTACTGCGCTTAATGAGCAAAAATCTGTTTTGAGTTTTCCTTCAAGCTTGAGGTTATGCGAAGCTGATTATAGATCAGAGTGTTCACTGCTGAAACAGCCGTGTTGTCACTTCTCCCTGGCCTCAGGTCAGTTTTGAGCCTAGTAGGGCACTTCAGGCAATCAATCAGACCATGCACGCTCACTGCACTGTACCGGTTATTGCTACACTAATTGAATTATTCTGTACTTTCTCATTACTGCCGATTAGAGCAGACTGTGATTTTAGTGTGTGAGAGGATGTAAGTTTCATGCCTTAAAGGTTTGTGGCTTTTAGTCCATGTGTGCTTGCTTTGAAGATAATCTATATGCTAGTGTACAACTAATCTTTGGATTTTTGTATTTAGTTGGACAATTTTTTAGTTTTTTTTAGAAGAGCAATTTATTTATATATTTGTTTGCTAACTTTTTTTACTTAAATTTTTTCACCTGACATTTGTTTTTGTTTTTATATTCATGATATTTAAAGGGGTCATATGATGTTGCTAAAAATAACATTATTTTGTGTATTTGGATGTAATGCAATGTGTTTATGCGGTCTAAGGTTCAAAAAACACATTTTCCACATACTGTACATTATTGTTTCTCCTATATGCCCCACCTTTCTAAAATGCGTTGATTTTTACAAAGTTCATCGGTCTGAAAAGCAAGGTGTGCTCTGATTGGCCAGCTATCCAGTGCGTTGTGATTGGCCGAATACCTCAAGCGTGTGACGGTAATGTTACGCCCCTTACCATACTGTGATACCGTGTCCCGGCCGGAGCGACGAGACAAAAACATTAAAACCCATTATAAACGAGTCATTTGTTGCATCCAGTGGGGACATAATTATGGATTATAATGTCTTACACTGTCTTAAAACCATGTCTGCATTTGTGATCGGAGAAACGACAAACAATAAGCGCTACTCTACGCTGCTCAAAACTCGCGTTTTGATTCATCAGTGGCAAATCCTTTAAATATGAAAACGTACTTACAGACTGTGAGTTAGAACAGCCGGCATTGTAGTCTACTCTACCAGGATCAGGAAACAGTCCTCCATAAAATGCCTTGCACACATCTGAATATTTGGGTTGAACTGTTCTGGAACAGTGTTGTAAATACAACTTAACCACTGATTTCTAGTCGTGTCCTCTTTTGGAAGGCCAAGTATTTTCGCTTTCGCAACAAAACACACAGTGTCTTCACAACATGGCGGTGGCGGTGGCAGCAACAATAAAGTTACGCCTTCTTTCTTTGCGTGAACATTTGGGCGGCGTTATGCAATTCTTCCCGCATGCGACGTAGACATGTTGGGGTGTGTTTAAACGAGGAGTTTTAGGACGGCGTGGACCAGTCTTAACTTTTATAAAGAATATTTCTTTGGGTTTGAGACTTTAGTCTTTGCAACTTTAGGGATCTTATCTATTCATGAACAGCTTGTAACACTCCAAAGAGAAAGGAAAACTTGAAACGCATGAACGCATCATATGGCCCCTTTAACCATTATATGATATTTAATTGGGCATGTTAATTTCTGCCTGTTTTTTTTACATGAAGATTACCTTTACTGTCATGTAATATCACTTAAAATTAATCTTTAAAAATGTAATAATTGAATAACTATTAAATGTAATCTTAAAATAAAATTTCAAAATGAAAAACTTTCATGCTTTTAATAATAATGTTGTGATACCTAAATTTATATTTTTTCACATTTTTACATTGTAATCTTTTAAAGTAGCATAAAATGTAAATATCAGCCATATCGTGAAAATTATTTTTACCTCATCACATTCAATCTGTGTATTAATCCCTACTTTTTTTCTGTAAAAATCTTGTAACGTGCATGTTCATTTTTTAAATATTTAACTATGTGTGAAAAGTCATATGTTTGTCGTGCCAGTGGCGTTGATTGTAAAACATGCAAGATCTAGGTCTTTTCCTGCTGTATAAGGGCTCAAGCTATCTGAAGATAAAGGTGCTATATTCTCTATCGCAATCGCTTTGATTGACACTTCCTTAGCTGCCAAGTGCCAAAATACAAGATCCAGTAGATTCTGGAGATTTCATTGCTTTCATTGCCACTCCATTTCATCAACACCCTGTGGTGTGCGGCATCATGTCACATTATCGAAAGAGACATAAAATTTGTGTACTTGCTGTAAATTTCTGTAATTGCATATCTGAGTGGATCGAGGATCAAGCCTTTTTTTTTTAGATGCTCCTCCCTCCTTGCTCTGAATTAAACTCTGCAGTTCTAGTTATGATAGCAATCACCACCACCAATCACAGAGTTTAAAGACATAGTGAATTTTCCCTGCGTGTTATCTCTTCTCTCGCTCTCTCTTTCTTCTCCTATCTGCTCTCGATCCCCCTTTCACCCTCGTCAGATCACTGGTCCTCATTAGTGCACTTGGCTCACTAACAGTCCAGAAAGCCGCAGGGCTGTAGATGTAGATTAGATAGATCTGCTGTGGATCTGCTGGGTGCTGGAGAAGCTGAGGGAAGATCTGGCACTGATGTCTGCTGTAATCTACTTTAAAAAATCATCCCTTGCATTTTTTATTACATTAATGTGGCATGTGCTTTCTTTCCAAAGTGTTTTACAGGGTAGTGCAAAAATATATCTTATATTATATTTATCAGAAATATTTTTTAAAAATGTTTTTGAAAAGTCTCTTATGGTCACCATAAGACCCCCCCCCCCCCCCCACACCCCACGGTTTTTTTTTTGAAAAAGGGGGGACCCCCACAAGCGAACACACACACACACACACACACACACCCACACACACACACACACACCCCCACACACACACACACATGTCCCCCTAAGACCCCCCCCCCCCCCACACACACACAGGTTTGTTTTTGTGAAAAGTGGGGACATCCCATAGGCGTAATGGTTTTTATACTGTACAGACCGTATATTCTATTGCCCTACACTAACCCTACCCCTAAACCTACCTATTACAGGAAACTTTGTGCTATTTCAGATTTTCAATACACTCCATTCTGTGTGATTTATAAGCGTTTTGAAAAGTGGGGACATGGGGTAATGTCCTGAAAAGTCACCTTCTCCTTGTAATACCTATGTCATACCTTTGTCATTATACAAATGTATGTTCTCATTTGTCACAAAAACACACACACACACAGTTTTCTAGATTAACATGTTTTAAAATGCAATTTATGCCTGTGATGCCGAAGCTGAATTTTCAGCAGCAATTACTCCAGTCTTCATGTGTCTTATGATCCATCAGAAATCATTACAAAGCTTTTTTGATGAATGTAAGTTCAAAAGAACAGCATTTTTTAAAAATAGTAATCTTTTGTAACATTATAAATGTCTTTACTGGCACTTTTGATCAATATAATTAATCCTTGCTGAATAAAAGCTTACATTTCTAAAAAAAAAATAACTTGTTGACTCAACTTTTGAATGGTTGTGAATTTTGTAAAAATGAACAAAAAGTGTGATAATTTATGATAGAATAAGCAATTCTATTGCATACTTCATCTCTAGACATGCTGAATGCCTAAGTATTTAGATGTAAATGAAAGTCTGCTAAATTTAACTTCAAAACGCAGCATTAACATGTCTGATCTGTTGTTAAACGTCCTTTTCTTAATAATTAATCAACCCAATGCAGTAGGTATGGGAATGAAATAGGTAAGAATGGAAAAAAAGGAAGGTTTTCCACATAAATGATCCACCTTAATGTTGTCTCTTTCCTCAGAAGAAAGAGAGGGAGTGTATGCACCTACGTATCGGGATTCTGAGGTGCGAGTTGGAGAGACAGAGGAAAGCGCTGGCGAGAGAACTGGACATGATGCAGAAAGAGAGAGCGCAGCTTGTAAAGAAAGGTAACCAAATTCACCAAACCATCTAACTGATGAGAGATCTGTCCCACTTTGGTAAAAAAAAAAAAAAACATGTATTCAAAAGTATTTTCTTCTTCTTTCTTCCTCTGTACTGTTATACACCAGTGGTTCATATCCCCACACATGTGCAATCAGGCAACGTTCTCTTCCAAAACAGTGTGTCAGACTGAATGTGTTGTGAAACTCTTCATCTTATTTTTCACTGATGTAACTTCACGTGTGTTCCAGTATCTTGGAGGACCGTGTAGAGTATCATCTGCTAAAATGTATTTCCAGAACTGAAACGCTGGCTTTCCACATTCTCATGTAAATGTATTTCCATGCCTTGAATTGAGCAAGGCAGTTGTTTTACATCTAACCAGCCTTCAAGTAGAGTCCAGCATCAAATATTTTTTCCTGTTCTCACTTAAACTGAAAAAGTTGCTGGAAGCAACAAAATTGCAGCCGTTTCAGAACATATTTGATGTTTAGTGATGTTCAATCATTTATGATATCATTCAACTTGATATCTACATCTACCAACCAAAAAAACGCCCCAAACTTCTTAATTATGTATTAAAAACTAGTGGTGTCAAAATTAGTGCATTAAAGCAGGCGATAATGTTTTTCACTTTAACGCTTTAGGGTTGGCCACCCCACTCACAACTGCTGCTTCTGTCACTTTTTCTCTTGACAAGAAGTGCATTTATTCAGTCGCAGAACGACCGAGAACGGGAGACGTTTCAGATGCGTGCTCCACTTCACTTCAGCGCCAGACGCGAGTCAAGCGAGCATGGAAACGGTACTGTGCTCGCAGAGCGTGCTCTTCAAATGCACGCAGAAAGGCGCCGGCACGCACTGTAGCCTGTATCCTTTCATATCAAAGTGCGAAATAAACTACGTGCATGCAATGCCGTGGTCAGATAAGTCATGAAGTTACCAAAAAGGCGATTAAAGCTGCCTTAAAACTGTGCATGCATGTAATATATTTTATATGAGTCACATTTAAGAACATGTCTCTGAAATGGTTTTCAAAACTGTCCTGGAGCAGCCCAGCACGGTCTCACTCATCTAACACACTCGATTCAACTCGTCAGCTCATTAGTAGAGACTTTAAGACCTGAAGTGGGTCAGAACAGGTAAAAAGAGTTGAGAGAAAATATGATGCGTGTCAGATCCGCGTTACATTCAGCAGCGGCAGCTCTTAAAGAAATAGCAGCCAAAACAACCTAATAACCAGTTGCTGTGATGTCTATTAATTAAAGGACAAAGAAAGGAGGAAAAAAGATTTTTTATAGCTTTAACGATTCATCTATATTTAATTTAGAATTTAGTGTTTGATAACTTCAATTTAAATTTCTGTATATTTTTGCTGAAGGGCACAGGTAAATATGACATTTATTATAATGGGTTTATGTGAAGATTGTTTTAAGTTCACTTAAATTAGAAGTTATTTTTTAAAGTCTAATAAATGTTAAAATTGATAGCTTAATTATATTGAAATGTTGAATGGCTATAGTCAATGGTGAAATATTAGGAGGGGGGGGGCGATTTTATAGAGAAATCAGTATTGATACTGGCCTTTAGTCATAAAAAAAGATGCCATTAAACAAATATTAAAAAATATACTGTCTTTATGTTGTTTGTACATTAAATTTGAAGATTGAATGTGAAATTATTGCAAAATAAAAGTATATTTAAAGAGCAGGTCATATGGGTTTTTGACAAATATTTTATAAAAAAACTTTTGCAGTTTATAATGTACACTGTAAAATCCAATAGTTTACCTTACTTGGATTTAGTTAGTTATCTTTACTTAGTTGTTATACTTACTAGGTTTTATTAAGTTACAGCTACTTTCAAGGCAAATAAAACAATTTACTTACTGTTTTGAGTGACACTTACTTAAAATATTCAAGTAGCCACAAAGGAACCAATGACATTAATAAACCAGTGAGAGGCAGCAGTGCATTAATATGTTGCTAATGTGCAACATAACAACAG